AGTGATACTTCTTTGGAGGAGACGGGCGAAAACTATGACTGATTTCAAACGACTCACGGAACCCAGGTGATCCGTGGATTGCCAACCTACCCGCATGCGGTCATTACGACCTTGAACAAATAAAATCACAAATCGGATTCGAACTCACACTTCGACACTGCCTTTGCATGATGCACGCTTTAAGGCCTAAAATACGAGGCCCCACAGACAGCTCTTTTTACATCTGATGAACCAACTAGCAGAAGTATATATACCTAATCAGTAAGCCTGTAGACTGTCTCCTGTGACAGGTTTCTTCAGAATCATTCAAAATCCATAGGATGAAACCCATGGTTGAGAGTTTTGTTTAAATCATACTGTTTTGGCAGATAATCAATTAGCATTCACTTGTGGTTGAATTGTGCAGTCAGAAGCTTCGACGGCATTCGAACCCACAGTTCACAATTCGGACACGGGCGGATACAACTTGATTATCTGCTAAAACAACACAATCACTAGCTTATACACATTAGGAGATAGGAATAACAGAATATTCTTGGAACACAATAACGATTAAATAGTCTTTACGAACAATATAAATGTTAGAAATAAAAAGGAGTTGTAAGCTTTGTGGCGAACAAAACGCCACGGTGACAAGTATTGAACAAAATTGTGCTAGAAGAATGCTTTGGGACATGCACGTTTGACAGGGATTTTGGGGCATACATCGGATTGTACCCGATACACCCGGAATAGCACGTACACAGAGTGGACAGTAGTAATAATACTAATAACAGTGATAATAATAATAATAGTAATAATAACATCACTAACACATGCTGTTTGTGTGGTTATCGGAGGAGAACACTCTTCGAGCAAGAGAGACAGACGGTCCGGGATGAGATTATTCGGTTAGAATGTTTAAGGCAAATTACACAAACACGTACGGGAACGCAAAGCAGTACAGCAAGAAAGAGAAAAGCCTACCTGAGTTATAAAAAAACAGAATTACCCTAGATACATACACTGTTTCGAAGTTGAACAGTGAACAGCTGGAGGAAAGAAGTAAGCCACAAGGGTGAAGACAACACAGCCCAAATTAACAAATTTCTATCGGAAAGTACGAGCAGAAAATGATGCAATGGGTAAATCCTTCGAGATAAGGAGGGACACATCAACTGAACCAGTTTTCGCTTCTCTGTATTTCTATTCATAAAACATGCTATAATGGAGAAAAACGGATCGAAGAAAAAATCATAGAGAGGGGCATGTAACGAGGGAGTTTAAACATTTCTAGCTGCCAACAAGATCGGTGGAAAAAAGGCAAGAAAAAAATTCAAAAAGTTCAGGAAAAACAGCATACAGTGTTATGTGGGAAAAACGGGGTAAATATCAACGAGGAAGACGGTCAGTATTGACCGAGTGGAACAATGTACGCGTAGATAGAAAAGAGAAAACCTAGCCATGTACAAGAAAATTTAGTACCGTGAAAACCTCACAAAAAGAACATTCCAAATGCCTATATTGTGGGAAAAAAATGAAAATTCACAGGGTTATGTACATCAATGTAATGCATGTGTCCTAGAGAAATAAGTTACGGTAGGGAAAAGCCCATTTGATAGACACCGAACGGTGTGATGGCAAGTACGGTTAAACTTGAGACGCAAACAGAGTGAGATGCGAGTAAGGAGCGACGATAAATAAAACCATTTAGCGACTCTCCATAGACAGCTGCTCACTGAGGTGGTGGACAAGTGGAGCGATCAAGCAGAGTGCCAGCACTGGGAAGACTTTGTCCAGTTGACGAAAAGGTTCCGTGCGCAAGATTCGGGGTACTTGAAGATGGTGTTAAAACCAGGTATGCGGCTATTGGTAGGAAGCAATGAAATTTTGCGGGTGAGAAATCGCTGACCAGAAAAAACCGATTGCAAGAAAATAAAAATTTGAGGAGACTAAAATCGATAACGGTGTAACCATTAATGAAAACGCCCACCGGCAATCTGGGTACCCTGAATAGTCGACCCCCCCCCCCCAGTTACCGGCTCTCAGAACATCGTAGAGTCCCTACTCCACCCCACTGCCTTGTGGGTTAGGTTCTTTAACCAAAGGCTCCGGGTAGGGTCCCCAAGAAAATCCTCTGCTTCGGTCTATCTCTGAATCTTACACTCATGCAAAGCTCTCTTAAAATCTGCAGACAACATTTCCATCCGCTCCCCACACAATGTCCCCATCTTTTCCATTGTAAGTCCCATCTCGAACGGTTCCACTGACGTAGGTTCATGTTGTAGCTCGCCGTTATCCTCCTTGACATTTGCCTCGGATCTGACCGTTTTATTCACTGTGTTCGGATCCTGAATGCGTGTTTCCGATAGGCAACACACATCAGTCTCTAGACTTTCGAGTGTACGAGCCGAACCTGCTTGTTTTGCTTTACGCATTGGAGTTCTAACGTTGAACGAAGCCAGTTTGAACGCAGAGTGAGGTCGGAGTCTCGGAAACACGCATTCAGGATCCGAGCACAGTGATTCGATTAACATTTCCTTTCAATCCAAAGGAAGCATTTCAACTACGCGTTTCCGGGGACCCTATCGCTTCTACGTCTGGTCAAGCAGGCGTTGGTATTGCCTTCAGCGCCAGGGCCGAGGTTGGTCTATGGGACTGGATCCCAACAGATGGCCGACTATGCGCAGTGAAACTCAGAGGTTCAAGTAAGGTCAAAAAGTAGAAACCAAATGGACGATGCTTATTCATAGTCTCTGCATGCGCTCCCACAGGCTGTAGTCCGGATAAAGTCAAGGACGCCTTCTATCACAACCTACATGAGTTTCTTCTCAAAGCACCCAAGATGAATAACGTGATCCTGACCGTCTGTCACTCGATGAGACCAAACTTGGTGGTCATCATGGCCTTGATAGCTGTCATTCAGATAATGGGGATAAACGTCTTAGTATATGCTCAGAACACGGTCTGTTCATCGTTAGCACGAGCTTCAGACACTCTAAGCGGCACCCCGTTACTTAGCGTAACCCCTCTTTGGCACAGACGTGGAGTCAGATTGATCACATAGCTATTAGCTACAGATGGAGAGGATGTGTAAAAGAATTCCGTTCGTATTGGTCCGTCTGCTTGGACTCCGATCACGCACCGGTCTGTGCCAAGTTGTCTATGCGGTTTGGTGGCCGAAAAAAGATGCGAAACAAACAACCTGACATTGTCAAGCTTCCTGACCAAGCCGTGCTAACCGATTATCAAAACGAGTTGGCCGCAAGGCTAACTAATACCCCATAAAGAAGCGTAGATTAACACTGGACAAACATTCAAAACGCAATGCACTCAACCAGTTTACATATTTGTGCATTAACCCGCCGAGTTGTGAATCACTGGGCCTCCTCCGGCTCTCTGACTTTTTGACGCGCGTCGGGCAATCCCGGCAGACCGCGAGTGTAACGAACCGCGGCTGCCTCTGAAGCGTGAACTCACAAAGAGTTTGAGAGACGACCGAGAGCCCAGGTGGACGCTACGTGCAAAGGTGAAATCAGATTTACGAAACGCGTCACAACGTGACGAACGCTGGCGTCGAGCTTCTCCCCGGAGACAGAGTCGCAGACTTGGAGTATGCCGATGATATTGTCTCACTGGGTGACAATGCACCAACGACTCAAGAGTCGTTGAGCCAATTAGTAATTGAGGTTACTTGCTATGGTATGTCCTTTGCACCTTCAAAGTGTAAAGTGTTGTTGCGAGATTGGCAGGAACCCGTTCCTGTACTCGCGTTAGGTAATGACACCCTGGAAGTGGTCGAAAGCTTTGTCTACCTTGGGAGTTGCATGACAGCTGGCGAAGATGTGGGTCAGATCTCACAACGCGTGATCAAAACTAGATTAGCGTTTGCTAATCTGCGGTATCTATGGCGCCGGCGCAACATTCCTTTCACTGAGAGGGCGTGTGTATTGCGCAACGGTACGCACCGTGTTGCTCTATGGCTGCGAAACCTGGCCTCTTTGAGCAGATCACGTTCAACAACTATCCGTCTTCAACAACTGTTGTCTGCGCAACATCGCCTTCGTATGGTAGGAGCACCGCGTGAATAACGATGAGGTCAGACGAAGGGTGCTAGGAACAGATAGTCTTCCTTTGAGCAAAATAATTTCACAGCATTGTCTTATGTAAGTACGGCACGTCCTATGAATGCCTGAGAAACGTCTGCCACACCGTGCGCTATTAGCAGACTTCGATTCAGGCTGGAAGAAAAAGTGAGGTGGGCAGGCTACGACGTGGAGCAGAAATTTAAAGAGACTGTGCTGGGATCTGGCTTCCCGACTGATGCACCAAGGATTCAGATTGTCTCTGGCTAGAGACTGCGGGATATGGCATCGAACCGAGGTCGGTGGCGCGAATGCACCCCCTCCTGTGTGCAATCCCAAAAATAAACAAAACAAAATACTCAAAACGGCGTGCAGTAAACAAACAAAAAAGTTGTTATTCCCTCAAGTTGACTGTTTTGTTTTCTTCGCTTTTGTACCCATAATTTTCGTTACCTCTTGGTTATCTTCAGCGCTGTATCTGTAAAGATTGATGTTAAATATATATAATATATATCTATGATTAGAGGAATGACACCTCATCAAATAATTTAAATAAGAATGTTAAAGAGGTGTCCTCAAAGTCAGCTTTACGGGAAAATGTGGAAAGAGGAACACTGTCTGCCAGTTCTTGAGCACGATGATCCGAACAGAACTTTGATATTGCATTCTAGAGAACGTATGGTATGAATGATTCATAACCTAAGACAAAAGGTCTAGAGTGACGAGCCACATGTAACCTAAGTAAAAAGGGCAAAGCAGTTAAATGTGTAATCAATAGAGTGAATAATTACTGAACGGAGCTGATGGTAGAGTTTAACAAAGTGATCCGCCATTTACACGCCGTTTGATCACTGAACATAAGGCAAAAGATTGGTCCCTGATTTTGGAGTTCAGTGCCCGACGCGAGGTCGACTGGAATCAATTGATCATCCATCTTCAAGACAATTGCACACCACTGTCGATGAATGCAGTGTGATCACTTTCTACAGCTATTTTCATTGTTTCTCTTAGAGCGCTCTGCACTCCTTAAAATTGAGGAAAAGTCACAATGCACAGAGAGAAAGTGAGCGAAATAAAAACTTACCTGCTGCGGCGGAACCAGCATATGCGTTCGAACTGATTTCACTTTGACTACCACCTGACGGTCGATGATCCCCGAGCGAAGAACTTCGAGAAGAACATGTAGAGACGGCAGAGCCGTATGATGCAGGGTAGGGTCGATCTGCATGATCATTGAGAGGTCGAGAGGTGAAAAACGATGAACTAGACCCATCCGAAGAGCTCGGATTGGAGGCGATCACGGTCATGGTGGACAACGATGATGATGCATGAACCTCAGTTCCCGTTTTGGTCGACTTTGAATCGGTACTGGGCCATGCTGAATAGGTTGGTGGTAAATGTGTTGCCACTGGTTTTGGTTGAATGTTAGGTATGTGCGATATGAGCGAATTGGGGATGGGCTTGAGTGTTGTTGTTCCATGAACCGGTTGAGCAGGTTTCGCTTGATCCACCACCGAAGTGGATTCAGAAGTGCTAGCGGTGTTGATGATGTTGTTATTCGGTGGACGACGAGGAGCAACGGCTGAGAATCGAGCGCTGAGTTCTTGCTACATAAAGAAAGAGAAAGAGTGAGGAAAACACGTAGATCTACAACAAAGCATGAGCAAATGTTTTGAATCAGCTTCAGTTTCAGTTTTATCAAATATTAACCATGTATTTTGGTTGCTCATTCGGATAAAAAAAACAGAATGAAGATTGGAATGTTGTGAGCAGAGTCAAAGATAATGGAGAATTACAATGAACTAACCTGGCAAAGATAATGATTAGATGCAGGAGCGCCACTGTTTAGGGCACTCTAATCACCAGCTATCATGCTCTGGGAGTCCCCATCCAGGGAGCCTAACGAGACCTATATGACCCAGTGTCTTGGTTAGGGTAGTCAAACTCTCATGCCAGATCTTAGTTTGACCATCCTTGGCGTTTTCCCATCCGCTATCTATCTCGGCAAACACCGCGCGCCGTAGCACCGTAATCGGTGACGTGAACAATAAATGTCCCAGCCACAGTAGTCTATGGAGGTCAAACATTAGTTCCAGTGGAAGATCGCGGTTACCTAAAACTCTGCGCCTAATCTTAGCATTGATTGCCTGGTTTCCCCACCAGACTAGTGCAATGCGGCGTAGACAGATGTTGTAACAACGACAATCTATTTTTATCCTGTACCCGTAATGGCCGTGCGATTGGTGGGATCGTACTGATCCTTGGTGTATAGGAGACACATAGTTCCGAATGCATGAAGAAGAAGGATTCCATTTAAAACTGGCAGCATTACCGTGGCCGTGGAAATCGTACCTTGCACCCAAAATTCTGTCGTCACTGTTCAAAACGATTGGTACAGACATTTGTGGGTCCTACATGCCACGTACACATCTTCCTGGTCGTGGTGGTGGTTACCGGATTGGTTGGGTATTGAGATGTATTGGGCACCTTAGTCGTTTGACCCCGTCCGAAGGGCATATGATCCGATGAATTGGACCCTGGCTCCCGATGAATTGCGGTGTTTGCACACTGCCCGGCTGCCTTGCGGTTCAGGATTTGGCTAGTCGAATGTTCAGGCTGTGTGGGAGAGCAGAGCTGTATGCTACCAATTGCGTCTCCAGGTCGCGGATAGGGGAACAGCCGTCATCTCACGGCTAACCGTGAATAAGGTGGGCCTCGGCCCTCCGAATAAGCAGTCGCGGACAATCAGCGGCAGCACTCGAGGATGTGGTTTACCCCTGGCAAGGGTTCTCCGTACAAAACGCCACATATCTGTGGA